GGTCACAGGTGCTGGCGAAACGTTAGGAAACAAAACTTCAAGACCACGGCCACACAGCCCTCCCGGAAGACCCACACCAGCCATTAGTTTTACCCCCTTTTCCTTCCAGCTCCCCCCTTAATGTCCCATAACTGTTCTTGCGCATGCCCCTGGGTTTCTCCTGGTTTCACGCTGGTACGACCTTGGCCATTTCTGGGAAACTGATAACACTCCATCTGTACCTCTTCATCTCTCCCCCCCCCGCCCCCCACTTTCTCTTGTAATGGCAAAAACAAAGCAAGCAAGCTAGCAGGATAGGTTAATTGATTGCGAGGCTTCTAGCAGTTGGCTTATCCATTGGCATCAGCAGAAAAGTACCAGCCACACTTAAATTGCCAGATCTGGACATTCTGGTAAATTAAAAACTTGACTCTTGGTACAGCTTGGATTGATAGGCAGAATTTTCAGAGCACACTACAAGGACACTAAGAGCTGGTGAAGGATATTGATTGTTGACACTCCATCTCGTCATATATAAACCTGCAATTAAATAACACAGGAAGATAAAATAATAAGAATTCAAGCTCTTAAGCTTCTGAAGTATGTAATCAACAGCATGGCATAAAGGAAACATTACTTACATTCATCATCCCATGCATTACGCCTCTCATCTAGTTTGTCTCCACAAACAACATAGTTTCACTTTGCTTGTTTAAAATGCAGACACCGCTTCCAATTTTGCCAGCTGCACTGGCTTCTAGTCTGTTATCAGGCCCAATTCAATATATTATATGATCTGCATATAATACAGAGAAGGCCTTCTTCCAAGAGATTCTGCTGAATGAAGTTAGAAGAATTGCTACAAGAGAAAAAGAGGGCTTTCTCACCATTGGCACCTTGTCTATTTAGTACTTTACTGAAATATAGCTTGTCCAATACATGCCAGCTGAGCTGGCATGCTCCAGGTTCCTTCAATTAAGCAATGTCATCTGGTGAGACCCAGTAAGTGTGCCTTCTCTGTCACAGTGCCTGCCCTCTAGAAGAAGATGCCTCCTGAGATCTGTGTGGCTCCCACTCAACAAGGTCTTCTGTCAGGCCCCAAAGTTTTCCCAGGGATTGGTTTAGGTTGGATGGAGCCTCTTGTTGGATGCGTTTTTGTCTATGTTTTTGTATTGAGTGACCAGATCCCCATCCTGTTTTGTTTTGTAGTGTGTTTTTATTGCTGATTATATTGTGAGCTGTCCAGAGTGGGTCTGGGTGGCACCTAAATGGCATGAAATAAATAAATAATAAATAAAATATATCATTATCCTTGAGAATTATACTTCATAATATTTACAGGTTATATATTTTGTTGTTCACTTTTAATAAATAAAAAATCCAAAATGATCAATAAAAGGTGTAATTTTTAAGAATCTATGTAAAATTCTAATAAATCAGATTAAGATGACTCAAATAATTTGATTTCTTAGAGACTGTAAATAGTTATGGTCTTCAACTATAATCAGAAAAACATAGTTTCTAAGTTACCATGGAGTTCAGTGGATGACTTTGGGTCATTCTCTTTTAGCTGTGTCTATTTCACAGGATAAAATAAGGGGAGACCCCAAGAAAGTCACCTTCAACCCTGAAAAGAAAGGTAGGAATATAAATGCAACACATAATAATATGCGAATGCTTAAGTTATGGTAATTTAATTTAAAAACTATGTTTTAAAAAGTCTACTTTCAGAATTAAAGTTTCCTTGATTTTCTGTGAATAGCTTTTAAAAATACAATTTTTGAGTGTATCCTACTAAATATGAGGGAAAGAAGAAACAATCATTAATACAACTGTTGTATTAATACTTGATTTCAAAGATTTAGAGTCTCTTAAGGCAATAATTTAGACCTAGAAGAATAGGTTGAACTCCTAGAATATTTGTCACTCTTTAGTGATTAGTCCCATTGATTTCAGTTAGATACAGTGTGTCTATTTTCTACTAAAACCAACCCTGAGTACACTAAACTGTACAGTATTAAGACTCAAGTTCTACTAGTCAGTAGTCTGTGTGCAAGCAACAAGGGCCACAAATTTGTTGTCAAGTATAGCATTCATCCTTTTTCAAATAAAAATGATCAGATCTATCAATCATCTTTTCTTTTTAGGTATAAAATGCATTAAAAACAAAATTAAGTCAGCTCCAGTCCTTAAATCCACATGCAGGAATTGTTTCTTAGTAATTTATAGGATTTCAAAATTGAGTCAAGTTGATTTAAAGGGAATATATTCTGTGAACTGTGGCCTAAAAAGGACTACAACAATGGGCTTTTCCTGAGATGGCTCAGGAAATTATCCAGGTGTCTCCCCTAGTGTGAAGTGGTTGTTGAACAAACTAGGACACATAAGAGGAAGAACTTACAGGTAGTCCTCAGGTTATGACAGCAGTTGGGACTGGGAACTCCATTGCTAAGTGACACAGTTGTAGTGTGATATTACATGACTTTGTCACTTAGCAATGGCAATACTGTCCTGGTTATCATCATTAAACA